AACCTTACTTCTAAAACTGAACACGGACACAATACTAGGCAAATATCTAATATCAAAGTACCAACTATGCACAAAAAATTAACACAATCCACATACCTATATATTGGTCCAAAAATGTTCAATATAGGTACTACCAATAGAAATTAAACAAAGCAACTCTTTTAAAATTCTTAAAAAAAAAATACACTTTGGCTATTACAAGAACAAAATATAGACAGACTCATAACAAACGTATAGGGTTACTGCATTATTTATCATATCAGTTGTACGACTTTAGTAATTATTGTTAATTTTAGTTTTATATTACCATATTATATTGTACTATTTAACTACACAATTTTTTACATAATACTATATTATATAAACAAAGATAAGAAAATATATATTACTTGTATTATTAATATTAAAGTTAGGTATGTGAGAAATGTATATTATTACAAATTGTAAATGTTTAATTTATAAGAACTATTTAATGTATTTATATTTCAAATTGTGAACTCATGGGCCCCCACACGTACATGTTCAGTGGGGCCCATTATCTTCTTGAAGAATAAATTAATATTAAATTAAAAAAAAAAAAAATACCTGCGAGTAGTAATAGAAATATTAAAAAAACAAAATGATTTGAAAAATAAATGAAAAAAATATGAAAATAATATATTCTGATAACAAATCCAAAAAAATTGATCTCTTAGCATTTTTAATGCAAACGCCTTAATATTGAATATGCATTAACAAATAAATAAATTAATATTCTGATATGAAAAATGATTTTAATTGTAATTTGTGCAATTTGTAAATTTTAATGACTTTTTTGTATACATTTTTGTACTAAACAGTTGAGGCCCATTATCTTATTGAAGAATAAATAAAAAAAATAAAAAAATATGTATGATTATTGCAATGTGTCATGTAAAGAAAAAAAAATTGTTTATGTTTCAGGGTTTTTATACAGCACCTGGCTTGAATACTGATGGGGGCTTAATTTCCCACTTTCCCAAGAAATTTTATTATGGTACATACAAATTGCGTATGCGTTATACCAAAAACAACGACATCTATGGTTGTTCAACTTATGTTATAGAGATCAAGCGGCCTTGGGAAACTGATTAAACAATAAAATACAATAGTCAATAAAACTAGGTATATAGTATATACTATATAATATTTACTATTATTCATATTCACGTACAGAATTATAAAATTATTTTTTTGCTACTTTACTCTAGCATAGCTTCTATAGAAAAATAATTAATATACATTAATAATTATACAATAAAATGATACATGATTTAATGTCGCCTATGTTTTACGCACATTAGAAAAACACAAATATTTTTATTTTTTTGTCTTTTATAACTATTCATTTGAATTTTGAATATACACATGCATGCGTACTATTTATTTTTATTTTTGTGTATAATAATA